GAAAATTTATATGACTAAAATGAACTAACTTGACTTTAAGAATCAATGGAGTTGAGTTGAGTATTCTTGATGAGTGAAACCATAAATCATTAAAGAATAATTTGCAATACCAATTTCTTTACCAAAGGCAATAGAATCAGGGCTAATTTCATATCAAAAGAAGAGGGAGGATGCAGGATTCGCAATTGAAGATCGAGGAAGATTCTCCGGTATTTGATTGAAAGAGAAGACAAAAGCAAGGAGAATCATGTAAATCCGAATATTTAAATTCCTTGTCAATTTTGAAATCATGGAACCTAGTAATGGATAGTCTCTTAGAAGGCTAGCTCATACTGCCGCGAATCAACTATGCATTGGATTTAGATTACATAGTTGCAATTCAACTACTTTCCTGTTGAAAGAATAACAATAAAAATAATGCTGCTGCATTACCCAGCTACTTCGTCAAAAGCATATTCATATTCGCCCTTACTAGGAGGCAGATAATCTGAGACGAAATTCAACCTCTTTGATCGACGATATTTGCCTGTACCTTTAATGACAGTCAGCAAACTAATGCCATCTTCCTGTTACAACAAAGCAAAACAGCTCAGCCCAGTAACTTCGTATTCCTTACATGAAACAAGACCAAGGAGTATTCTTTTCAATTACGAAAAGTTTCTTCTATTTTTTATGAATTTCATGTTTAGTAACTAGAGATGGATTCAGTTAAGCCATTAATTCTACCAGTCAGACTGAAAACAGGGGGATGGGATAATTTCTTTCGGAGACCACGGGATGCATAATTCACCTATGATGACCATGCCCAGCTAAAACCACATTACGATACAATCATGAGTATTGGTTTGTATATAATAGTTCATGGTAATTCCTGACATTACCAAAGAGCATCTACAACGGGAAAAAAGTTGAAGAGCATTTTACCATCTAGACATTCTTTTTCACCCACCAGCAAAAGGGTATGCCCATTGTCCTTAAAGCAACGAACTTTGCAGTTCTTTAACAAACTATAGAGACGCTTAGCTTCATCTGAACTAGGAACCATGTAGTCATTGCCACTGAAATTAGAATACGCA